AGAGACTTAGACAGCTGTAATATTACCACTAAAATACTGCATGTCTATCTTCACAGAAGCATGAAGGGCTTCAAATTCAGGTTCAGTTAGGAGAGGTTTAAGATTAAGGTGCTCTTTATAAGTCGGGGAGCCACAGGGAAAAACTACCACCAAAAACTACCAGTTTCAGAGCACCAAGAACTAACCCTTTGGATGTGTTTGTGGTTTTTTTTTCTCATTACGGTTATATGAGTTGTGACTTTGCCCAACCCCGGCAAGAGGATTTCACCATCATTATAATTTACCTAAGATTAAAGTGACACTAAACTCAGGAGTTAAATCTTTAAAATGCATTCAACTTCTATAACTATTAACAAAAATGTATCTTATTTGTGTATCATTAGGCTGTAGACCCTCAAATCATCTCTGAATTGGTGCTGACACCGTCCTTCCTTCTGGAGGGGTGCCACTTTTCTTCCCAATGTCACTGTGTGTGTTGTAAAGTAGTCACCGCTCCAAGCTCGCTCCTGTGATGGACTACAATCTCATGTTTAATGAGCTAATTTGTATTGAGATTGTAGTTCATCCCAGGGTCCCGCTTGGAGTGGTGACAACTTTACAACACACACACAGGGACCATGGGGAACAAAAGTAGCCCCCCTCCAGAAGGAAGGACAGTGTCGGCACCAATTCACAGATGATTGGAGGGTCTACAGCAGACTGATACACAAATAAGATACATTTTTGTTAATAGTTAAGGTACTTGAATGCATTTTAAAGATTTGACTCCTGAGTTTAGTGTCACTTTAATATCATACCATCAGCTGTAAGGATGGTGAAATCCTTGTGATGGGCGTTTTTAAACACCAAGGTCAGATTGTAAATGTTTGCGGAAATGAATGATTCCTCATTGTTTTGTCTTGTACCATCAAATTGACAGGTGAGAAGGGGGATGTAGGCGACAAAGGACCTCCAGGCATCTCAGGAAAAGAAGGGGAACGTGGAACACAAGGGCTTCTGGGAATGAAAGGTCAGAAAGGTCACGTAGGTCCGCCAGGACACTCCTGCAAGGTCCAGTATTCTGCTTTCTCTGTTGCCCGTCGTAAATCTCTGCACAGCACTGAATATTTCCAAACAGTCATCTACGACACAGAGTTTGTCAATCTTTACCAGCACTTCAACATGTTCTCAGGGACCTTCGTCTGCTACGTTCCTGGGATCTACTACTTCAACCTCAACGTCCACACCTGGAACCTGAAAGAGACCTATCTACACATCATGAAGAATGACCAGGAAACGGCCATTTTGTACGCACAGCCAAGTGACCGGAGCATCATGCAAAGTCAAAGCCTTATGCTTCAGCTGAAGGAGAAGGACGAGGTGTGGGTGCGGATGTACAAACGGGAGCGGGAGAATGCACTATACAACGATGAATCCGATGTCTATATTATCTTTAACGGATATCTGATCGCACCGGTGGATGAGTGATCACTCCGTGGTGTAACCGTGACATTTTTGGACTCAAAAAATGGCACAAAAAAGACAGTTTCGCTAATGTTTATTGATGCAATAGTATTATCTCCTGAATCGTTTTAAGGCTGATCCTATTTAATATAGGATAGTCTTGTATATAAACAAATATTCTCATTAAGGATCTGTAAATATGGCAGATCTCCATTGCTCTGCTGAACCTCCAAAGAACATGTTTACAATGTAGTAGGTGCTAAGGTCCTGCAGGTATTAACATATAGCATAACCTATCGGCCTTCTGTGGATGCATTCAAAAGCACTTCATTTTTTAATGAATGACCTAGCATGTCCCTTTTTAGTTTTGATCAAGGGACCCTGAAACAAAAGTTCTTTTGAAGTTTTGGATATCAAGAAGGAGAGAAGATACGGAGTCGAGAAGGTTTAGACCCTCTGTCAGGTTTTATTGCTGTCTATGTCCCTGCTCCCTGCTCATCTCCGTTGATCCTGGTGATCACTGTCTCCAAGATATAATGTGATGGAAATCCATATTTTTATGGTACAGGAGTTGAGGGGACATCTTCCATTGGGGACAATCTTTTTCTATCACAGCTGTCTAATAGGGGGGCCCTTAGTTTGGAGAGGCTTCAGATAAACTTTACAAGCTTTTGAATGCAGCCTCAATGTTATTAAAGGGGTTTTCCAGCAATTCTGTAAATCTCATGTTTATTGTGGAGCATCGTGTGTATTAATGCACCAACTACTATCTGCAACTCCCAGGGTATCTCGAGACAGGCAGTTGCAGTGTTCCTCTGCCCCTGCTATTTAAATTGGGTATGGCGGCATGACCCTAAAATGCTTTGTATTGACAAATTCCAGTCCACCAAATATTGTAAGCAAAAGTACAATATGTTGTTTACTACTAAGGGGCTCTTTATGTTATTCACAAAGGGAACTCAGTCAGACTGTGGATTTCCAATTCCATTAATTTACATGCCCTGTAAAGTATAATAGAAGCCCAAACTTAATTTTTTTAGTTTGTGTAGGGTGTCCGTGTGCCAACAGGGAGATTTTCCTTCACTTGTTGTCACTGGAAAACATGACCCCATAGAAAGAGCCCCTTCAAATTTAGGATTTTCCTTCGCTCCTTAGTCCCAGTGATATAGTAGAAATAGAGGGAGTGAATTTCCCCAATGGACATAGACAACAATAAAACATGTAGAGGGTTCTAATCCTACTATATACCAAACAAAAAAACGAAAGTTTTGGCTTTAGATACAGGTTTACTATAGATAAAACCTGCATCATATCTGTTTCAGGGTTTCATTCTCACTGGGGACAGGTTTTGAGTGAAACATGGATGAATGGCTGATACCAAAACAAATTCAGGTACTTATGCTAGCTGTGATTATTGTAAATATATACACGGATCAGCCATAACATTATGACCACTGAGAGGTGAAGTGAATTGCACTGCAGTGTGATGATTTGGACAATGTTCTGCTGGGAAATCTTTGATCCCGCCATTCGTGTGGATGTTACTTTGACATGGACCACCTACCTAGACATTGCTGCTGACCAAGTACACACCTTCATGGAAACAGTATTCCCTGATGGCAGTGGCCTCTCAGCAGGATAATGCTCCCTGCCACGCTGCAAAAATAGTTTGAGGAACACAACAAAGAGTTTGAGGTGTTGACTCCAAATTCTCCAGATCTCAATCCAATTCAGCATCTGTGGGATGTGCTGGAAAAACAAGTCCGATCCATGGAGGTCGCACCTCACAGCACTTAAAGGATCTGCTGCTGACGGCTTGGTGCCAGATACCACAGCATGCCTTCAGAGGTCTAGTGAAGTCCATGCCTCGATGGGTCAGGAAAAGGAGGACCTACTTAATATTAAGTGGCTGGTCATAATGTTATGGCTGATCGGTGTATACTCATTAATAGCTGTTTTTATATCTCCATGGAGGTCAGCTGGACTACATGGGGTACTTATACTTGACCAAAGTTTCTCTTTAAGCCGTTTTAAAAAAATTGAATTTCTTAGAGACTGATATGATCGCCGAGCAGCAGTTACCAAAAATCTTGTTTTCTAAGCAAAATGTTATCATGCCCACTGGAAGTATTCAGAGAGACGATAGAACATTTATCCTTCTTGTGCGAGGCACAACTTTGGTATCTTTCAGCTTAATGTATTTTTCCTTGCTGGAGAGTTCTTTACTTCCTCTTAATGGACTTACAGCGGGAGGGAGCCGGGAAGGGGGGAGCCGGACAGACCAGTTCCTGCTGTCTTTAATGCAGCCTATGGCCAGGTGGCTTTCTGACTATGCATTAGCTTGTTCCCGATGTATACCTTGAGTGACGCATAAATGTACCTGTGGTTATACTCTGCTTTATGGTTCAGCTATCTGAATGATGTGAAACAAACAAATTCCTGGAAAACGAATTAACTGATACAGTGCAAAAGCCTAACTCCAGCCATTTGTTTTAGTTTATTGGTTTTGTATAGAGTGGGGAAGAGTGACTGCATTTGGAAGATTCTCACTTTCAGTCCTTTACCAAAAATATGGTTGGGGGGTTGGTCACCAGCACAGGAAGGAACAGCAATAAATGCATTGTCATAAGTTTTAATGCTAACCATACTCGGCTCACATTTTGGCTGATTTGGCATCACCCGGCTCATCAAATAATCAAAGGAGCCCTATGGAAAATTATCAGACTACATCCACTCAGTTGCAGATACTGTTCGGGTTTTTCAGACAGCCACGGGGGCTTTATACCCAAGAGAAAATAAAAAGCTTTGGCTGGAGTTGGACCTCCAAGGAAACTCTTAATTTAAGTCTATCTTTCCATGATCACCCTCAGAAAGGTTCTACATCTATTTTACTTACTTTCGGGGCCACATGTCCAGGACCAAATATGCAAATTAGGATTTCTGATTCACCGATCCGTTGGGTTCATTCTTGTTCTAGTCAATCTAGAACAAGCATGTATTGTATCAAAATAGTCCACAACACTCACCACTTAGATTCCGCAGTCAGATCCATATTAAGAGGAACCTCCAGGTGCTGGCAAAAGGCTCGCTCCCAGCTGTATGAATTTTTGGAATTTAGGACTTCCAATCATTGAGCCCTGTGGGGGTAACATGTAAGGAGAGAGTTTCTTTCGTTCTGGGGAGCTTTGGAAGGTGTATGCTGTTTCATGGATTAAAATAAAATTTGGATTTATTTGGAGGAAGCATTGAGTGCGGCTCTTCTTGGATAAAAAGCATGTATTGTATATTACACATTCGGCTGACTGATTGAAGGGAGGGCAAAGGACTGACCTCATCAGTGTCTTGCTGCTCTTTCACTATCCAATCACTGGCTGGGGAGGTCCTTGACCAAGCTGTATTGCTGTAACTGCAGTGGTGAAAGGTGAGGTCAAAACCTGCCTGAGAATGGGGGCACTCTGTGGGTCAAAGAAAGTTTGCTGACCCATGGAGACAGCTGATTTTTTTTTCTTTCTCCGCACTCCTCTCCCATACACATCTCCCCATGTGACCTTTAGCAACCAGGGATGCTCTGGCCGGCGCCCCACCCAGCTCCTGGCAACCAGTGACGTCACTGGTTGTCAGGAGCTGTATGGGACACCGGCTAGAGCGTTTCAGGTTGCTAAGGGTCATGTGGGGAGATCTATAAGGGCCATATTTATCTCCTCGTTCAGCTCTTATCAATCACAATAGGCGGGGAGTTGTATATGATATGCGGGCGGTACGCTGGCCAGGGCATCCCAAGTTGCTAAGAGCCAGGCGGGGAAATGTGTATGGCCCTTACACATCTCCCTTCCCAGCTCTTAACAACCTGGGACACTCTGGCAAGCATCCCGTCCAGCTCCTGGCAACCAGTGATGTCACTGATTGCCAGGAGCTGGGCAGGACGCCAGGGGTGCAATTTGTTGTAGATACGCCTCTGGTCACATGAGAAAAAGGGGAGCTTGCCTTACCCTGGAGTGCTCACATGATCCCATCTGGAAGGGAGCATGGCAAGGATAAGAGCTGGCAGCTTATGGTCCGTACTGGACAACAGCAGAATTTTTTTTTCTTTTTTTAACTTTGAAAGCAAACCTGATTGTTGTGTGTAGCCGTGCACAATCTGCTTGCTGTTCATTTCTAAGGCATGAAAGATTTTTACTTCATGAAGAAGGTTCCTTTCTTCCAGCATGTATGGCTGCCCCGTGTCTCAGCCCTGCTTCTGACAATGTTAACAGCTCCTATCATACAATGCTGGATGGATGCTTGCAGGTTCACAATCAATCAGCTTCAGACTTGGAAGAAGAATACACTCTAAAAAAGCAATGTGGCCCAAGGCCAATTACTCTGCAGTGAATGCAAAACAGAGGGAAAAAAACACTTGTATAATAATAGCATAAATGGCAGCTCATCTTGTACACTGTTGTTATGTCACGACTTACACAACCCAAGAGGACAAAACACTTCATGGAAGGTTTATACCATTTCTAAAGTCACTCCACTCTTTAGTAATTATATTTTGCAAGAAGCATAATGCTGAGAGGAATTCTTCAGATAATTTTAGTTTTTCTTTTTTTTATTCTTTAGTACATGCTACAACCGCTGATCAGGTTGAGTTTTCTAATGGTGACAACAATGGACCATACATGTGTAATGTGTGCTGCAATGGCCACTTGTAGGCTTCACTGAAAGGCCATGTGGTGGGGTGACAATGCAGGAGCATGGCTGGAAGACAGGGGCAGAGTTTTTTCACCAGGGGCGTCACCACTTGAGGCGGTGGAGAAGTGGATGGGGGGTGCGCATGATGTAGGTTCCGGGAGGGGGAGGTTGGTTACTCTTCTTGCTGGTTGGGGCAGGTGTGATTGGGGATTGTGGCTCATGGTGCATGTTCTGGGGAGGGGGACAACTTGTGGTGCGAAGCACAGGGTCGGTGCTAGACTATTTTGCGCCCTAGGCAAGACCAGCCCCCCCACCTGCAGTGCAGCCCCCAATCCCCTCCTTCATGCGCACAGCCCCATTCTCCTGCC